AAAAAGAAATGTTAGAAACATTTGATCAGTGGTGTAAAAATGTCTCATCAGAGAATCAGGTGCTACAGATTCACACTGCACAAGTGCTTCCTGTCTAATTGGCGCACTTGTCTGCCTGCAGGTCACTCTGCTGTCCTGCCTGGTGGACACTGAGCTCTCTTTCCTGGACTACATCAGAGGCGGGTAAGGTCACAATAATTGATAGCATACAGTACTCAATTAGGCAGCAACATTAATCTCATCATTAAATTCTGAATGGCCTGGAGTTAGCAGTGTAGACGCAGCAGAGAGGACTGCCGCTGCCTTTTATCTCCCACTTCCAAAATGAAGACAGACAGCTGCCGATAACCTGCTGCTTAATTGCTCATGCTGCGTGCTTTGAAACATGCTATCATATAATCTGGCTCGATTGATGGCTCTCTGTTTCTCCTCACGTGACTTATTTATTCTGTTCTTTTATTTCTTGTAGGACTCAGATTAATTTCACAGTGGCAATTGATTTCACAGCATCAAACGGTGAGTGTTTTAAAGCTCTGCCCATATATTATTGAAATCTCTTTAGTGTATCAACAGATAAAATATTGCAGGCTAACGATCAGATCTTTATATGATTTGAACCTTTAAGAGACTGCTTATCCGCTCATTTGATGGCTCTTCACCCCTTAACTTGACTAAGAAGATAGAACATCTGAAAGCTGGATAATTATTAGAACGCTATCTGTTGCTCTAAATCTCTGAGCTCAGCTTGATTTTACTTGTTAGCCAAAAGTTTCTGCCTCTCTGGAAAATGAAAGCCATTACTCCCACATTTTGCCCAAATTTATTTTCAGTTTAGATTGTTGTCTTCATGTAGTGGCGGTTTATAAACCCACAGGAAAACCGCAATGCATTTATCAGAACAACTTAACGTCAGACAAACAAAATGAGCTATTCTGCACGGATGACTTTGTCAGGGATGAGTAATGTTCTCATTTCAGCAAAAGATGATTTAGTGAGTCAATATATGTTATACAATTTTAGAGACTTCTTTCTGCCACAAGAGATATTAATGAGTTTCTTTGCTGCCATCAAAGCAGCTCCCACACTGTAAAATAATAGTGGTGTGATGCATCTATTTATAATCTATGCATATTATCTTCATTAGTTTTTCTTTGATCCTATTTGTAAAACAGGTTGTTCCAGACTGTTACAGCTGTCTCATTTCTTTAATAATGTTGCGGAAACAAAGCCGTAGGCTACAAGTTTTCTCAAACCCAAAGCCAACGCTGAACTCATTTCAAATGAATATTATTATTGTGACCCAAATCTAATACACCATGTTCGTCTGGGCCACAGAGCACCCTTGGTTTTCTAATTATTATTATTATTATTATTATTATTATTATTATTATTATTATTATTATCTGGCAGATGTGTCACCGTATAGTCCTGTAAGGGGTGCAAGATTTATAGTATGAGTGACCTCCTCACCACCACAGCTTCCAAATACTGTCGGTTATTTGGATTCATGCTCACATACACCATCCTGCTGTTGCAAATGTTAGCTGGAGAACCACCTCAATGTGCATTAATCTGAAGCTGAAAGGGGCCTAGAATAGGTCCTCTAGTACAGTCTTCACTCCAGTTTTTAACGCAGCTTCAACAAAATTAATATAACTGGCTCACTGGTGTAAGGCTGTTATTTAGTCTTAAATTTGCATTTATCAGTATTCTCAGTTTTTCAAATTTCACTCTGTAATGGTGACAGTCGTTCAAAAAGCAAGCCTCGCGTCACATACGCTGTCTTGGTAACACATTCAAGCAGTTATTTGGACAGTTATTTCAAAGCCCGCAGGAAAATGAATAAGGGAGGACTGTAGTTGCGACAGTTGGAACATAACTGAAATAAAGATTAGCTTCAGGACTTTGGTAATGTCCACAAAAATATTTTGTACAAAGGCCAGAAATGCCATGAAACAAAAAAGATTTGACAAAAACCTTCACCATGATAGTGAGCAGCATAAACTCTTGCGAACGTATGTTATGTGCATGCGTTAGTGCAGCAACACATGCTAAATGTTAGCATCTGCTTTGGTCCTCATAGTGTAACATGCTAGTATGCAAACATTTCTTAATTAGCACTTAATACAAATATACTTTTACATTTGCAAACGTAAAAGTATATTTGTACAAACGTTTACATTTGTTTGGTAATATATCAAAGTACAGGATAAATTAAATTGCATGGGAAGCAACAGTGTCTTTAATATTAGTGCCAGTCCATCTGTGAATTGTATGATAATCAGTTACTAAGAAACACGATTGGCTCTCATGTTTCCTGTTTTGCCTGCTAATTGGGTCTTTATGTGCAGGTGGGAAAGGCCACTGTCTTTATCCTCATCCTGAGTGCTGTTGCTTCTTTTATAATATCTGTGATCTGTTCTCAAGGCTGTTCAATTCTACCCAGTACATAGAGCCTAAGGTTTTTCATTTTAGCCTTACAGTTTTGTAGCTGCTTACGATTAAATTCAATAATGTTTGCTTCAGGTTGAAAGAGCCAATAGTTGAAGAGTTAATTACTGAACTATTTAAAAATAGATCTATGTGGTAAATACATGAATCCAAACTGCCTGATTGGGTCCATAAGTTACGAGCTAATTTGAGAAAATGTAAATATTTTTGGTTTTGATGTTCACATTATAACAAAAATCAAATAACACATGATTTTGGTCTTTGCTCTCATCATTATATTAGCTTTTCTTTCATGTAGCTATTCTTAAATAAATAGGAGACAATTTACGATGGGCTTTATTTAATACCAGTTTTGCCATTATTTGGTTTGATTATTTAATTGTCAGGAGTGGCTTTTGAAATTTATACACAAGAACATTGTCAGTTTTTGCTTATTTCATTAGTTTGTGCAAATTGGAATAAAGCTCTGATGGATCGGCTCAATATCTTGTAAGTTTAAAATGACTACAGTACGTTTCATGTTGCCTATCTATCCTGTAATATTTGGGGAAATTGTATGACCCACTGAGGTGTGAGGCAGCCACTGAGATTGTTTCTTCCTCCAGTGCAGCTGTGCCTTGCAGAAATGTCTGTCTGCAATTTAACCCCTTTCACCCTCTCTCCTCCTTTTTATTTCAATATGACTCACAGCCCAGGGGGAGCAGGCATAATTACAGTGTGATGCTGATGTGTGTTTTATTTTGTTGAACCATTCGGGTCCCAGGCAACCCATCCCAGCCCACCTCACTCCATTACATGAGCCCTTACCAGCTAAATGACTATGCCATGGCACTGCGGGCTGTCGGCGAGATCATCCAGGACTACGACAGCGACAAGATGTTTCCCGC